AAAAAAAAAAGTCTTTTGGGTACAGATTTTCTGGTAAATGATGAGTGAATGAAACATAATACAGTGTAACAAATAATGGAAAAGTCGACTAGTAAGATATACCGTAAATTGATCCTTTGTGTCACCTTCTGGTTATGCCTTGTTTGTTTAAGTTGCAACATTGGCTGATCATTTTAATTGAACCAGACAAAAGATGTCCAACTGACAAAACAAATCAAACTCATTTCTATTGGCCCTTGCTGATGAAGACAAGAGGGAGGGGCACAGGGGCATAGCCAGGATTTTTCATTGGGGAGGTCACAGAGGCTACTCACCAGATTGTAATGTCGACCTCCCCGCCGTGCATGTTTCACTTAGTGTTACAGTTTTGGGATGAGCAGTGAGAGTATAGTGGGCAGGCCAAGATATTGTCATGGTGTTTTCGCCACCTGAATATTGTAGGTTGTTTGCTCAAAAGAAGGCCTACCAAGGGGGGGTCACGGGCACCCCAGGACCCCCCATGACTACGCTCTGGGGAAGTGGAATACTGACATACCAACCCTTTCCCAGTGAGATTTCAATATACTCTAACCCTTTACACCCTTACTTCAGAATCCATACTTTTAATACTGTTCTCTATACACTTTTTATGGTGCTGACAAGGAGAATTTGTTTCACAATCAAGAGCCCTTGTAGTTGGCGATCATTTCTTTCCTTCTCATGACCTTAAATACCTTAAAAATCACATACGTCTAGTATATCTTTAGGCAAAGGCTGGAAATAAAAATTCAAAGTCTCTGCATGTTTTAACTCTTTAATTCCAAGGAGTGACTAGTATCTAATTTCCCTTTGCAATATCACCCCTGAATCACACATTATTACCTCTACATGTGGCCAAATGACAAAGTGCCCTCTCTAAAACGCTTCTTTTTGTGGGCCAAGTGGCAAAGTGCAGGCTGTAAATGGTATTTTCTGCCCTGATATATATTTTATTAAATGAATTTGTATGGCCTTGTGTATTGATAATAATGGTAATCACATGACTTTTGTCAGGCATATAGGTTATTTGTGTCCCTTGTAGCACCATTTGCACCCTCACTCTGCTCGGGCACAAATTATGCTACTCAGGCCACAAATAAACTATTATGCCCTCCAAAAGTCATGTGATTTTCCAATGAAGGTTAAGAGGGTGAAGGAAATGATCACTAACTTAAGAAGCTCTAGATCACTTAAGATCAAACAAATTTTCTCTATCTGCATCTTGGGAAATGTACAGAGAACAGTATTGAGAATAATTATGCATTCTGATGTTTGGGTGTAAAGGATTAAAAGTGAGAAATACCTCTACTGTGTTGCAAGAACTTCATGAAACTTATGAAGTTGTGAGCATTTTAAAACCAGTTTCAGTGTCACATGTGCTCTTTAGCCTTCAGTTGAACAATATCTGTTCTTTTTGTAAATTGTGTTCCTGTAATTGCAATAAAAACTTGATTTCTTGATATCCAGTGATTTGCGATCCGTCACGCGAATACCTTGTGGCCCCCTACACCGAAGTGAGGCAGTACCTGGTGTTTCTTGGACAGTTGATCTCGTAAAGTTAACTCGGTTTTGAACCTCAGAGAGGTTTCCTCCTGAAATTCAGAGGACTGCTTTCTTGGTGCGCTCTAGGTTCTAAGATTTTGGGTAAGTAATTAAAAAGTTAAGAAACATATTAAATATTATTTAAGGGGCAGTTTGGCAACGAGTTGAAGTTCTTCCACCGAATACTCGTCACGGTCAACACGAGGCCTTCTGAACGGGTTTTTTGTGAGTCACGTATTTCTAAAGAGGAAAGGAAAACTAGAGAAATATGTTTTTTGTCTTGTCACGAGCGTGGGACTTAGAAAAACTTCTGAGTCCCCTTGTGAAATCGTACCTCAGACCTTCGAATTCCGCGCTCCTATGCTCTACCACCTAACGAGAGAGACTTATGATGAGCGAGGTCCATTACGAAGTTCGTATGTGACAAGAGTCCTGCATACCTCTAGAATCAGCAATGTCGATAGCGTCACGTTTTGTTAATAGATTGAGAAAGATAGTAAGTTTTGAGCCCGGTAAAGAAATAGAGAAAGATGTTTTTCTTCTCGTCACGGAATGGAATTTTTTCTTTGCCCGCCCTCGTGACACGACGAAGAACGTCTCTCTCTATTTCTTTACCGAGCTCAAAACTAACCATATTTCTTATTCTATCCACGAAAGAAAACTAGTTTTTTTCTAACCCTTACAGAAGTTGAAGTTAATATTAATTTTTAGAGAATAAATTTTGGACTTTCAAAGCAATTTATGAAGCTCTTGCAAAATTTAGATAAGGATTAACACACTCGCTGAAACTGATATTGGATATAACGTGCGGTATTTACAGCTATGATATCATTCCACCAGTGTAACTTAAATTAATTTTCGTTCAATATTTTATTTTGGAAATTCAGAGGTTTCAAAGTAAAAGACACGTTGTTAGCCGATATTGTGCAGTATTGTGTCGATTTCCGCTAAGGAGGGAAGGTTTAGTTCACGTTTAACCAGTTTGGGGAAAGGTGGGGTCTTCTCTTTGAGTCTGTTTTCAATAATTTATTTCTGCGACTCGATCCTAGAAGCCTTTAATGCTGTATATTATTTTGCAACGAATCGACGATCAATCAAAGAAGGATAAAGAAGCGGGCATAGCCGATCGCAGCCATTGAACACACCCCCGTAAACGCCTCCTTGTAAACAAAACCAGTCTTTCCTGTTGGGCTTCGTAGCTGTTTGTGATTGGCGCGTAAATCGAGTCCAACTAGTTTAGACAACAAAATCTCAGAGCCGTTTTCAGTTTTACTACGTGCTCCGGTTGGTTTTGTTGTCGTTACCACGCAGTGTTCCAACTGTACTCATTATCGAATCAAATAGTAATCAGATTTTGGTTAAGTTGAGCGAATTATGCTCAGTGCGTTTCGTTTTGTACAATTTGCAGCGAGAAGGACTATATACACATCGACAAACGCCATGGGATCATTGAAAGTTGCCGTCATCGGCCAGTCGCAGTTTGGTCTGGAAGTTTACAAAAACCTTCGATTAAAAGGCCACGAGATCGTCGGAGTATTTACAGTACCTGATGTTAAAGGAAAACCGGATGTCCTTGCGACAGGAGCTGAGCAAGACGGTGTGAAAGTCTTCAAATTTCCGAGATGGAGAACAAAAGGGGAACCGATTCCCGAAGTTGTAGAGGCGTACAAAGCTTGCGAAGCGGAAATAAACGTGCTTCCATTTTGTTCGCAGTTTATTCCCATGAACGTTATTGATTTCCCTAAACATGGATCTATCATTTATCATCCTTCTTTGCTGCCCAGACACCGAGGAGCTTCGGCTATTAATTGGTGAGTACATCTTATGTAAGTTTTGTTTTGGTCACGCAAAGATCGTGAACGTGGTGTTGCCTTCCCTGCGGGTTGCCTTCGGAGTGTTATTTAAGCTTAATTTCCTCAACTAAGTAATGCCTTTCTTGACTTAAGGGGAAGGCATTCTGGCTAGAATTGGAAAATAAAGCGACGATGGCCATTCAGTTTTTAAATTAATCGATTTCTGTTTGATTTGAAATACTTACACAAAAACTAAATACTTTATTAACTAAGCTAAACAATGGCCAACAGATAGCAAATGAATTCGCGTCAAAACTTGGCATATAATAACGGAGCTTTTGTCAGTTTTACTCTACCGGTAGTTAGAGAACGAGTCAAACCGGAATTAAATTAAAGACAAAAGCCGCCCTCTCTACTGAACTCGAAGCCGGTAAAAGCGTTTTTGTTTACAGTGCAACAAGGCTTAGTTGTTCATTTCGCTTGCAACGAACCTTAGTTTTAACGGTGTCTTCGCTAACCATACAATTTCCAGCCCATTTTCTTTAGAAAAAAAATGTGAAACGGCGAGGAAACTCATTAGCTTTTACGTAAATGTAATGTGCACTTAGTCTTAAATGTTCAGTAGTATACGATGTTTTGTCTGTTATATGCGCGCGTTAGTCGCCATCTTGTTTAAATAACTTTCGATCATATCGGCAAAAAGTTTTTTCTTTTCACGTGTGTCACTGCATCTCATTATGGAAGAGACTCTTTTCGGATCGAAGATATTTTCTGTTGGAATTAGTTTAATCAAGATTAATTTTGCTGAGACTATTCAATTGTTTTAATGTTGAACATGAAAATTTCAAATCTTCCTTGTTACTAATTGTTTCTGAGTATTTTTTGATACCCACCTTCTCTTTTTCTTGAAAATAAACCACAAGATAAGTGTGCACTTTCAGAAAGTGTGCAAACACTTCCCTCTGCAGGCAGTTCTGAATTACCTGTTTGTTGAAGGAAAGGTATGCTCCCTGCATTTGCAGAAACCACATAATTTACATTATTTTTTTATGGCTGCTTTTAAAAGTTTGCATGAAATTATGGAAGTGTCTGTGTTCTGGGATTCCAAAGAGAAATGTAATCATTTGGAAGTTTAAAAATTCAACAACAAATGTCAGCATTTTGAATTGTGCTGAAGCCTTTGACCTCAAAGACTGACCAGGATCCAATTTCTCCCAACAAGATCACCCCCAAATCACACATTAGGATCAAGAGAATTAAATGAAATGATCCATAACTTAAAAAATGAATATTTCTCCTTTGATATGCTGCTCAAATCTGTTTTGCTTCATGTGCTTGTTTTTCTTTTTCTTTCTTTTTTTTTTGATTAGGACTTTAATGGAAGGAGATGAACAGGGAGGCTTCAGTGTGTTTTGGGCTGATGATGGTCTGGACACAGGACCTATCCTTCTTCAGAAGAGTATAGATATTGATCCTAATGAGACAGTTGACTCTTTGTACAACCGTTTCTTGTATCCTGAGGGCATCAAGAGCATGGTGTGTTGCTTTAATAATAATAATAATAATAATAATAATAATAATAATAATAATAATAATAATAATAACAATAGCCAAAATAAGTAATAGGTTTTTAAAGATTTTATAACAACTATTTTAGATTTGGATATCCGAAATACCTACTTTTTTTTTATTTCTCGAGGGTTTTTTTTTTCAGTACATAGATTTTGATTTTAGTATATAGTTAACGGGCTACACTCATGCGCCCTGTCACACTATTCTTACTGTATGTAGCATACAAAAGTTTTAAACTGCTGCATAATAATATTAATAATAATAATAATAATAACCAAATATTTAAATGGGATAAACCTATCAGTATAAAAATTCAAGTGGAAAATATAGCAGTAAAAAGTGGTACTATAAAAAACTACAAATAAAAATGTTTGTTGACTTTTTTCCTAAATAAGACTCTGGAGTTCTGTTTCTGGATCTCTAATGGTAAATTATTGTAACTAAGAGCACCTAAAGAAGAAAAACTTTGTTGACTAAACTCCAGTTTCATTTTCAGAAGTTCATCTGACAACAATCTGTTCCTCGTGTCAAAGTTGTGATATGTCCTTGTAAAATTAATAGTTTGTAAAACTTAAACTGAGGTATAAATTCTGCATCTAGGGAGGCAATATAAGAAAAGATCACAGAACAAGTTTGCCTTTTTTAAATTAAGATGCCCAGATTCAAATTGGGTTGGAATTGGAGAAAAATGATCATAACTTAGTTTGAGATGACTTGTTTTGGAAATAACATGTTACAGCTTATCCCAGAGACCTATTACATTAACTTGTCACATAGTTTGTCATAATTGTTGTCTTTAAAATTAATAAACTCTCAAGTTATCAGTTTGATAACAAAGATGGAAAAAACCCAAGAGATGCAAATTTCGAGTTTCCAGATGGGAAACTCGATTGTTCTCTTCTATTAAAAATTGTTTCCAGATGGGAAACTCGATTTTTCTCTTCTATTAAAAACTGTTTATTTCATCTTTAGATGCAAATTTGCAGAAAAATTAATAAAGAATTTAGAAATCATTTTTGTGAGTCTCGGAACTAAACAGTAGTCAATCTCTACTTTAAAATTAGTTAATTCTCTTGAAGTTTTAATCTCTTGGTTTGCAGACTGTGATTAAATGAAAAATTTAACTGGGTCTTTTAATGGCAGGTGGAAGCTGTTGGTTTGATTAGTGATGGAAAGGCTCCAAAAATTCCTCAACCAGAAGAAGGAGCAACTTATGACAAAATCTGGAAAAAGAAAGAAGTGGCCAAGGTTTGTATCATTTAGCTGTTGCTACTTGTCAGCGGAAGTCTATTATAGACAATAATTGTGATCATAAATACTGTGATTTATATAATAGCCCTCATCCATCGCAGCTGCTTTCACATTTCTCTTGTTAGCAAGTCAGCAACATATCAAGAATTTTTTTTAACTTAAAAAAATTACAGATGTTGTATATGTATTGATTCACTTGTTAAAAAAGTAATAGTAAAAACAAATGGTATCAGTTTTGTAAATCGAAGAAGGATGTTGTATTTTTCTCCTAACACAGATCAACTTTACCCAGCCTGCTAAAGTGTTACACAACTTCATTCGTGGAAATGATAAAGTGAGTGATCATTTCTTCATCAATGCATGCATGTGATGGGGATTCTTTTTTTCCCTCCAAGAAGATGTTGGTCAAAAATATTATTTACTTGGTAAGTTACCAAACTATTTGTCTGATGTTACAGCTTCCAGGAGCTTGGGCCATGATTGATGGTCAGGTGAGTGTCTGAAAATTAATGATATTATAATAATAATAACAGTAACGATAACAATAAGATTTATTATTTGTATTGTGCCTTTTCTATAAAATATTCATTATATTATGTTGACAGTGTATTGTAAACAACTGAAGAAATTCGTCAGGCTGAAATTACAGTATAATTGACGTTGTATGCTTGAATCTGGGTATCACCATCAACTACTTAAATTCAACTGTAGTGGAAATATCTGCACAGTGCTTTTAAAAGTTTGAAAGGTAGTACATGTATCTTGAAGTATCAAAAATTCGTATTGGATCCAGGAAAATAGCTAATTTAATTACATAAGATGTAGGTACATTCAATTTAACCCTTTTCATTACACCCTAGCACTAGTATGCAACTTTTCAGGGGTGATATTGTTTGGAGAAATGAGATGCCTATAACTCGTACAGGTCTCGACACTAACTTTTCAACTTACTAGCCAAGTGGCTGGTGACATCTTAGATGCTACGACAATGTTAGTTCTTTTACCAGTCAAACTGGCTAGTGGAAACTGAAATCCACTAGCCAAAACTGAATTTTTCTACCAGTCTATGGCTAGTGGGCTACCGTTAAGTGTCGAGCCCTGCTCTTAGGGGTTAAAAGGTCAATACATGTAGTTACGTTTGGTGTAACAGATTGTTTCTTCCTGTTCACACAGCAAGTAACATTTTATGGGTCATCACTGACACCGGGTGGTGAGCCCCCAGATGGTTCTGCAGTCACAATTGAAGGCCTTGAAACACCTGCTATAGTGCACAGTGGTGGTATGACGTTGACAGGAACTGATGGCAAGATGGTGAGTGAAGACTGGGCTCTGTCACATGTTTCATAATGCTGACTGCAGTTAATGGTTTGAACCCTGGATCAACGTTCTTGAGTGTCAATTTATCCAAAATCTTCAAAAAGCCAAGCCAATTATGGTGGAAGCTAAGAAACAAGAGACACATTTGTTTTCATTATTTTCTAAATCCAGTTTAGAACAACGGGTTAGAACTGATAATGATCAATTTTATTTTGTTCTTAGTTAACAGTGAAGACCCTTCAGCTTGAGGATGGGCGTATGATTCAGGCATCTAAATTTGGTCAAGCGGAAGAAGCAGCCGAAGCTATTGAGCTCACAGAAGAGGAAAGAGCCATGGAAGAAAAACTGAGGGTAATGTCATTATAAATTTACTTTGATTTAATAATCAATTCTCCTGGTTTCTATCTGTGATAAAAAAAAAGCTTACTCTTATAATGAGAGTAAGTCAATAATTGTCATTAACTAATAGACAAGAACATGTAACTTCTCCCTGCAACATCCATCATTATCCAGCAAACAGCTAATGAGAATACTCAAACTTATCAGGTAGAAGTTATCTTGATCTAACACCAAATTCTCGTAACTGATTGACAAGGAAATGTGCAGCAGCCAGAGGGGAGAATTAACAATCAGATCTTGGGATAAAGTAACTCCTTTAGGCAGTTTTTGTAGATTAATTACAACAATTGAAAAGTAAAAGTAAAGTCTTTTTACCAGCCTAGTGGCCCATTAGGCCGGTGCTTAACTCCGGTTTCTGTAGCATGAAGCGGCTAGGAGTATTTCTACTCCCCCCTGGATAGGATACCAGTCCATCGCAGGGTTACCCCCAGCATGAAATTGCTGGTATCCATTTATTCACCTGGGTGAAGAGAGGCACTGTGAGAGTAAAGTGTCTTGCCTAAAAACACAACACAATGTCCCGGCCGGGGCTCGAACCTGAACCACTCAATCTGAAGTCGAGTGCACTAACCATGAGGCAACCGCGCCTCCACAATTACAACAATTACTAATCTTTTTTGTTTGGAAAAAATTCATCTAAGGAAACTGCATCGCAAAAGTGAATGGGAGATTGTGAAGGGACCAGTATATTGTAACCAGCGGAAAGTGGGTAAACTGACTTTGCCTTTTGTTGTCACTATTGTTGTTTTAAAGGAAATTTGGACAGGGATTCTGTCAAATTCTGATATTGTTGAAGACACTGACTTCTTCAAGGCTGGGGCTGGTTCAATGGATGTTACACGGTAAAGCATAGTCTGTATGCAAGTCAATTTAATCTCAAAAGTGTTTATTTCATTCTTTGTTGCCACGTACTTTATATACATAACTAGTCTTTTGCCATGTTTCTCTCAGGCTTGTTGAAGAGGTGAAAGAAAAGTGTGCAATTGTCCTAGAAGCAGAGGAAATTTACATGAATACAAGGTATGGATGTAGTGGTTAATGTTTTTAAAAGTGTATTTAACTGATGCACTTCTCTATGTAGTAATACTTAGTAATCATTAAATAAATTTTTTTATCCTTTACAGTTGTTCTTCCCTGTTCCCTGTTATTGTGTTTTGAAAGATTCCTTTATTAGCTCTGGCCACTTGCTCAGTTGTTAAATGGTCCTCTTCAGTTTGGGGCAGAATTTATATTATTTGACAGAAGAAATGTTCTACCATCGATAAAAGTGAGCATTTTGAATTTCAGATATGGAGATTTTGTTCGATTGTCTGTCCTGAGGTATCGTGGTGGAGGGCAAGAGGAGTTTAGCTGTAGTACTGTAAGCACATAAACCCTTTAAGTGACCAAGACAGAATTTCTCCTTACAATATCAATACATTATCAAGCAGACAAGTGATGAGAATAAAGAAAAATATCAACAAAGGGATGATTAGTTGATCAGATACTAAATTCTCCAAAGTAACATCACAAAAATTGTATGACAAACAGTAGGAAGAATTACAAAATGAGATCTAGCGGGTGAAAGGCCTAAAAAGGAGTTGGTTGATCAATATTTGTAAAATGTTAACCTGATGTGAGGATGTTACTTAGGGTTAAATTTATCATGATCAAATATTAACATTTGATCAGGAGCATGTTTTTTTGTTAGCTTCTATCTTCATCAGGATGATGTGTTGGTTTTGATCTTTTCATTATTAGGTTGATATGGATGTGAACCACATGACTATTCACATGCCTTATCAGCTGTTTATTAATGGAGAGTTTGTAGACTCTTCCAATGGTCGCACGTTTGACACCATCAACCCAACTGATGGTTCAGTAAGTATTTAACATGTCCAACGCGATGCCAGCATACTTTCAAACCATGATTTTTCGTAAAACTCTCTCCTGCCTTCTGATTGTAGAACTTGATTATCAGTCTGGAGTGAAATGTTTCTCAGACAAATTCTATATAGCTACTCATCATACTCAATTAATACCAAACGTTTCTTTAAAATGATAGATAATTGATGAAAGATTCTATGCCTCAGTTTAATTGACTGCTACGTGTGCCTTTTTTTTTTTTTGTATTCAAGGTTCTTGCCAAAGTCTCCCTTGCCAGTGTAGATGATGTGGATAAGGCTGTTGCAGCGGCAAAGGTTGATTTAAGTTTTCTTAAATAATTTGAAGTTCAACTTCTGCCACACACCAATTTTCATTTTTTTTCTTGGGTGATGGAGAAAGTCAGATTTAGAGAATCTTCTGGCCACCATATTTAAGTCTCTGGCTATATTTTGATGGCTTGAGCTTTTTTATCATTCAGATGTGGAAAATGTTCTCCCATTATTTTCCACTTTTCACCTGCTATGAAAAGTCTTCACATTGTGGGTTGTCTCAGTAAAAATTGATCATCAGAGATAGGCAGTGTTGATCTTAGTATGCTGTAAAAGTTTAATTTTTATGGTGATTTATTCACTACCAAGTGCAACCTTCAACTGAATGGAAATTATTTTTATTATCATTCTTTACCTCTACTCTAAAATAATTATATGAAATTTTTGGCTTAAGGGTAGCATATATTTATGCACATAGGTTTCATTTGTTGAAACTAAGGAAATTGGTTTCATTGGTACATTTACTTGTTTTATAACTAGTTCCTTTCTCCCTAGGAAGCATTTTACAATGGGCCATGGGGAACGATGAATGCTAGAGATCGTGGTCACTTGATTTATAAGTAAGTGAGCAGTTATTTATCATATTTTTTGCAAATTAAATTTTTTGCAAGCTTCAATGATTAGGTGGATTGATATGATCAGTAAATAAACTGAAAGGTAAATACAGAAATCAAAGCAGTAATGAAAAAAAAATTCAAACCAAATGCAATACTTGTTAAATTCAGAAATCTTACTGAAAGTGGAGTACAGATTGAAGCATTCTCCTGATTAGGCCATAGAAATGGACTTGATAATTTATAGTGCAGGCTGCAAATCATTCCATCATCTGTACTTTTGAAACACTCTTCTTCATCATGTTGTGACTTTGCCTTGTACTTTGAGTACTTGTACTACTTGTATTTACCCTTAGACCCCAAAGTGTGATTAGCATGTAATTTCTCCTTATAATATCCCCCCTGAATCCCACTCACAGGTCAGGAGAATAAAAGAAAATGATCACCAACTAAAGAAGCTCTTGATTGTTACACAAATTCTCCTTGTTAGTACCTTGGATATGTATAGAGAGCAGTACGGAGAATATGCATATTGATGTTAGAAGTGTAAAGAGTTAAAGAACGACTTCGTAATTTTCTTGCGGTTGTTTTGCGATTGTGTTGTGAAGGTTGGCTGACCTGATGGAAGAACACCAGGAAGAACTTGCCACCATTGAATCTCTTGACTCTGGTGCTGTTTACACACTGGCCCTCAAGACACATATTGGAATGTCTATTGCTACTTTGCGTTACTTTGCTGGATGGGCTGATAAGATCCAGGTAAATACACAATCCTTGCAGTTTCCCGCGATTTGTCTATGAAAAATCAATATGTTTGAATGAAAAGATTGGGAGTTGAGATTTACTGAAAAAAGAAAATTAATGTTATGTGATGCATCAAGGCTTCAAGTTCTCTCGATTAGACTTATTTTCAAAAGATTTTGTGTTTTGTTGATGTGTTGTGACATATATTATAAAATTATTATTGTAATGATTTAAATCTCTATCTAGGGGCTCACAATTCCAATCAACAATGCAAAACCAAACAGGAACTTGTGCTACTCAAAACGAGTACCAATTGGGTAAGTTGTGTACATGTATGGTGCTACTCTTTGCAGATACATCTTTACAGATACATAGCTACAGATACATCTTTACAGATACATCTTTACAGGTACATCTCTACAGATATATCTTTACAGACACATCTTCACAGATACATCCTTACACTCAGATACATTCCATTGAGTAGATATATTAACATACCTCAACACATTCTAAGGTTCTTGATAAAGATTTTTCCTCAACCATTTTAAGTAACTAATTAAAATGATGTTAAGGCTTGCAAGCATGTTAATATTTTACCATTAAAACAAATTCCTTCTTGCAACTAACATAAAAAAAAAAAACAAAACAAATACAACAACAAGAGAAGTTGACTGTTTTTTTTCTTTTTTTTGTTTTTTTGACTACCACACTTAAATCGAGTTTTGTAGTGGCTCTGTTTTATTTCATCAACTAAGGTAGAAAACATGATGGAAAGAACAAATATCCTGGTGTGAGTGATAATTGTGGGATTTGATTTGTTTATGGCGATGTATTTTGCCAAATACTGGGGCTAAAACCCGGCCTAAATAAAATCCCAAGTTATGACACCTTCTTGCTTTTTCAAGGTTGTAATTGCAGGCTGACATTTAAGAGCAAGACAAACGTCATGTTTACAGCATATTGTGGTTGCACTTCCTTCACCACTCTTGGCAGCTCTGCCTTGATAAAAAGGAAGTATGGTAACTTGAGTATAATTAAGGTACAGTGAAGCTTGCTTCTCAATTGGGAAAAAACTCAAAATTTATTTCCTTCTTGTTCCAGGTGCAATTGTAAGAAATTCTTTTTTTAGAAAGAATATAATTTGAAAGTATCTCAGAGAACAATAGTTTATAGACAGGAACTCAAAAGTAATTGTGGGCTTATTTTTTACACTTTCATTGATAAGTGGTTGTCCTTCCTTCACCACTCACGGCAATATAGACGTGATAAAAAGGAAGCACTACTAATGACAGCAACTTGGCAGTTTTGAAAGTATTGAACACTACTCCCCCACCACTAGCTTCATACAACACATCTGTTTTAGAAAAAATCTTAGAAATTAGAGGGGAGCTAATTAAAAGTGCTGTGCCACTTATTATTCAGAATATTCTAGCTGATGACAGAAAGAGTTTTAGAATTTTAAAGGCTTACACAACTGTTTACAATGGTGTACCTTTTACAGTGTCTGCGGTTTGATTGTGCCTTGGAACTATCCACTGATGATGTTAGCTTGGAAGATCTCTCCACTTTTGGCTGCTGGCAACACTGTTGTACTCAAACCAGCACAGGTGGGTCTAAAGATGCAGGTTTTCTTTAAATTCTGAAGAAGGCAGGTGTTTCTCTTATGTGATCAGAGCAGCCAACAAATTTTACACATTGCTGATGGGTATACATGTATACCACACCGCAATGATGTATTGCGGCGATGAATTAAAATTAATGGTAGTAGGAGAAGTAAAAGATAAGGCAGAAGAAGAAAAAGGTAGAGCAATTAGTACAAACACTCAATAATGTGTTATAGACAAAGTAAAAGAAGTAGAATGTACCAGTAACAGCAGCAGTGGGTTTCAAAGCATCCACAATTTTCTGCTAGAATTGAATTGTTCTTCGTATTGCAGGTGACACCAATGACAGCTCTGAAGTTTGCAGAGCTTTCTGCTAAAGCTGGATTTCCCAAGGGTGTCATCAACATCTTACCTGGATCAGGTACACTTTTGAAGCAAGCAACTAGATTGAGTTTAATTGTTTATGTGGATTAAAGAGATGAATAAGATACTGGGGTGGATTACTTTAAATTGCTTTATGAAGTTGCTAGTGGCTTATTCTGTTGTTGTTTGGACAGTATTATCATAATAATATTATACACCTTTACTAAATGTTTATTGTTTGTACAGGTTCTGTTGTAGGAAATGGCATCTGTGTTCATCCTGCTATCAGAAAAGTTGGTTTTACTGGATCAACTGAGACTGGACGGTCGATAATGTCAAGGTACCAATTTCTGTGTAAAATTACTCCAACCTGTAACAGTAAATACATTCAGTAAATATTTATATAATATATAGTGTTATTTTCAACTTACCTGTTTATTTGAGCTTGATAGTTGATGGAAAAAACACCTGGAACTGTATTTTAATTTTTTTTTAAATTCTCCTAGCTGTGCTGTCAATGTCAAGAAATGTTCATTGGAGTTAGGTGGAAAATCACCTCTTGTCATATTTTCTGACTGTGACATGGATAGAGCTGTGCGACAGGTGAGACTATTGTTAGTTCTGTACAGGCACTTTTAGTCTACAGCCACAACAGGTGGAAAAAAATTAATAATCTCAAAGCTACATGAAAAGCATTTATAAAGCAATAGAAGGTGAAACTAAATTTTGTGTTTTTGTTTTGTTTTGTTTATCTGTTTGTTTTGTCCTTCTAACCAGGGAATGATGGCTTGTATGTTTAACAAAGGAGAGAACTGCATTGCTGCTGGTGCGTGAAATGTTCAGAAATGAATTTGTGAAAATATACTTTATACTCCTAACAAAATTGCTTATCAAAGCTTCATTTTGCATTCTGTGGTTTGAAAAACTCTCTGAGTTTGAAAGCCAACAACACAAACTGAATGCATCAGATTTCTCTCTATAGTAAGAAATGTGTATAAAGCTGAATACGGTTTTTTTTTTCATTATTTTCAGGACGGCTTTTTGTTGAAGCATCCATTCATGATGAATTTGTGCGGCGAGTGGTAAGTCATGCAGAAGTTATCCCTCACTCTAAATTTACTTTTAATTAATATATGACAAGAAGCTTGCAATGACATAGGAGCAGGCATATGTTGAAAGCCATATTTGGTTTTACAATAGGTGGAAGAAATAAAAAAGATGAAAATTGGGGATCCGCTTGATCGTTCAACAGACCATGGTCCTCAGAATCACAAGTAAGACTTGAAAGAAAGTTTAATTAATAAATGAAATTTAATTACATGTAGTATTAAATGAAATGCAACTTGTCTTGTGGTTGTTCAACACACAAAATATCAATGATTACTGCCAGAAATTTTTTATGGGCACCCTGTAGATTGAGGTCAAATTTTTGCTGTTTTGAACAGTTAGCAGTGATAGTGTTGACTGTATGACTGTGTAAATAATGACTCCTTGTCCTAAAATATTAGATGGTTTATGTTATTCAGGTACTTGTCTTGCCCCGCCACAATTAGCTTTCGTTATTTGCAGGGCAAACTATCCCAATGTTATTTTATGTAAAAATTCAAAGAATAAATTGTTGTTCTTTGTAAAAAATTGTTGTCCATCCTTGGATGGGTGTTCAAGCAAAGACCATTGGATTTGGGTGTCACACTTACAAATTCAAGATGGTGGCTGGCCAACTCCGATTTCGCGGTGTTAAATTTTTGCACAGAGCCCCTTTGTGCGAAAATAGCGAAAATTAAACACTGCTAATAATTAACCACTTTACATTTAATTTAGTATGTTGCTGACGGCAATAAGCATGGAGTGTGGACAGTTGGGTCATCAAGAGTATGTGAGACCAGTGAGACCTCCTAATTTAGTGTCAATGGCCATAAGAAAACACTTAAACATGTTGTTTTTGCTAATTTTGTATTTAGAGCTCATTTAGACTCCCTTCTTGACTATTGCAAGAAAGGAGTGGAGGAAGGAGCCACACTAGTCTATGGTGGAAAACAGCTTGACAGGCCTGGTTAGTTCTAAAGTTCCATTAACTGCTCACTGAAATGATCTTGTTTTTGATGTTGTTAAAGAACACTTTTTTGAGCACTGCATGGTAGTAGAATAAATAAACACTAACCCAGTATGTAAATATGCGGCGCTATTTGTCTGTGAGTAGCAATATTTGATGTATTATGATTACAAATATCACAACAGAAAATGGATATAGAAAGGTAAGGATTAATAATTATTTAGTTAATGCATAATGTGGTGTTGTACCAAATGGAATCATAATGAATGGTCTTTTGGTTGGTTGGTGCTTTCCATTTGGTAGCTGCTTGGTGATTATTCATGTGGGCATGTGTATGTGCAATCTCTATGTAGTGGAAAATGGTACAGTCATTAATACTGAAGAAAAGGGAGAATTTTTTATTCATTTTTATGTTAATTTTTGTAGGGTACTTTTTTGAACCCACTGTGTTCACTGATGTGAAAGACAACACATTTTTGTCACAAGAAGAATCATTTGGCCCTATTATGATTATCTCTAAATTTGAAGATGGGTAAGTATTTTACAAAAAAGATTTTAATAAGTAAAATTTAAGGACTGTCGTGAAAGGTAAAAGAAGTCTGTACAGGAACTTGAATCAAATGGTGAACCCAGGTTATCCCAGTTTCCTTAGCAGGACATGACTAAGAGTATCACCATCACCCTCCCCCCAAGGTTACCTCCCGGCATTAATTTTCTTCAGGCTTCTCTGAAAATTAACCTTGTTTTGAGAAAGAGGCTACACTCAGGTAATTCAGAAATGGACCTTTTGGTATGAGAAAATAAGTGCCACCCAGGGCAGGGCATAACAAAGGGTTTATGGTGTGCCGAGGCCAGCATAGATGCAGTAAAGAAAATCTGATGGTAAATGTGATAAAGAAGGACTTGACAAATTCTGCAACTCTGCCAGTTTTGTTCACAAGTTGTGTTTATTTTCAGTGATGTTGAAGGTGTGTTGAAGAGTGCCAATGCTACAGAGTATGGGCTAGCCTCTGGGGTGTTCACAAAGGATTTGAGCAAGGTCTGTTGCTGCATAATATCAAATGATTAAAGCTTGATATGTGTAAGCCTAAAAAAAGATTATTGAAGGCTCCATAAGTGTAGAATGAAGCCTGATATTGTTTAATTTTAATCTTAAAGGCTCTTCGTGTGGCTGATGGATTGGATGCAGGGACGTGTTTTGTTAACACTTACAACAAGACAGATGTAGCTGCCCCATTTGGTGGGTTCAAGCAGTCTGGCTATGGGAAAGACTTGGGTAAGGCTTATTCTAAACCCTTTTTGTTAAGAACTAAATCAAATAAAAATCTAAGGGAAGTGATGCCAGGGACACATTGATCATTGAGATAACATTGTTATGAGTTCAGTGCAAGAGGGGCAACACTTACTACTAATTATTATTATTTTCTTATAAAGTGAATTTCCAACAAGTTTTGTGAAATCTTACTTACTGGCTCCCTATTATTGTGTTTATTACCATGATGATGGATTAGGACTTTTTTGGGGGATGCAATGCAAATTACTGAAAAAAGAATGAGAAGATATTAAGTACATTGGTTAATGATGGTATTTTTTACTCTGGCTCCTGTTGCATCTGTATAGTCAAGTGAATTAATTGAATGTACTTTATTCTTCTCTATTGCAGGGGAAGAAGCTCTTAATGAATACCTGAAGACTAAAGTTGTCACTGTAGAATACTGAATGTCTAAATTATTTGATTTGTTATGGAATGCAGAAACAGATGCGCTATTTTCATGATAATATAATTTTTTATTAGTACTTCATTAGGTTATTGTGAGCCCTTGGAATGGCTGAAACCTTAATCTTTTTTGCTAACTCTGGCTTTTAATGACAGTAGTCATGACATTCAGTGGAGTCTCATTTTCATTGTATCAACAGCATCAGTAATTTTTTTCCTTCTGGAAATGTCAACTAAACAATAAAAGGCATGCTAGTTATGAAAATATAACTCAGTAACTTCTAGAACAGGAGTATAAAAAATATGTAAAAGTTACTAACTGTAACAGATTGCTACTACATTCTCCTGTCAACAAAACATTATATATAGGACCCGCCCTTAAAAGAAGAGTTGTGTTGTAAGAAGATTTAAGTTGAAGGTTTAACAAAAAATACAATTGTAAGTTGTTAACCACTTTAACTTCCAAGGGTGAACAAGACAGAATTTCTCCCTACGGTAGACAGACAACAGAAAAGTGATGAGAATATAGAAACAATATCAGGGGATTGTTAGTAGATCCAATACCAAATTCTTCCAAGTAACATCTCAAGAATTGTATGATAAACAATAAGGAGAATTACTAATTAGATCTTGGAAGTGAAAGGGTTACATTAAGTTGTAGCAATTACAACAGAGATACAAAGACATTATTATTTTGCCATTGATTTTGAACTTTCAGTACATCGATCAGCAAATTCTGTCTACCGGCATCATAAGGAATGTAAAATTATAAGTGGGAGAGATTTGTAATTGATCCAGGTTGCAAACTTATTCAGATCATAGGGATTTCCTAATTGTTTTAATTGATAGAGATGGTAGCTTTGAGTTGTATGTAGATATTTTGAGTGAGTCTAAATGGGAAGATTACAAATTTTCTTTTGGTTTACTTGCAGTGTGCTGCCTGAGCACAAGCAATAAATGTTGGCTGTGTTTCATTTTGTTGATTTGTACTTCTTACAAAAATCAAGATGTGCTGAAGTCTTGTGCTGTACTTTAACTGTTTTTGTCTAGTCTGGCTTCAGCAGTCATTATTCACGTAGCCAATTTGCAGTAAGATAAAGCCTAAATCTTCTAATCAATTGCTAAAAATTTCTGCAATATTTTAAATTATCCTTCAACTGTGAAGAATATGCCATATTGCATTACTTTGTAGACAGAAGTCACAGCTGTCTTTGTTGCCTAGCAACAGTAGAACATTATGTGCACTTGTTATAGTGAGCAAAAAAGATATTAATATGATGTTAATTATTGCCTGCATTAGGTTTTAGAAAGACAACTATTGCATGTACTCTGTTTTTGAGCTGCTGAATGAATGGTGCTAAATAAAATCTTCAGGTTGTTAGTGAGTACTTTTTTATGTTTTTGGAAAACATTTCTATATACCTTGAAATGGCTGAAAGGCAAAATATAAATTCAGTATTCTTCAGAAGCACTAAGCTGGTGTTTCCACCTGCCATGTGTTGTAGAAGAGCTGCCTTTTTTTAATAAGATAAAACAGCAAATTATTTGTCATGATTTGGGCACTTACTTGATCCCTGCCACCTACTGTTTTTTTTTTATTTTAATGGCTGGCTACTTAACAGTATCTGGAAGGTTAGAGGGAAGACAGCTGAGGTTGGAATTATAAATATACAGACCACCGATAGCTCAAGCTTGTTCAACGAGCCTCCATAAATAAACAAATGTGTTTACATTGTGCAATGGGTGAAAAATCAGGATTTGTATGGGATTACATTTTGAGCTCTTAACCTAAAAAATCTAAATGATTTTTTTGGACTGATTTGGATGGATAACCAGTTACACTAGCATCAGTGTGCATTTTCTCCATACTGTTCTCTATAACTTTCAGATGGTACTGACAAGGAGAATCTGTTGAACAATCAAGAGCTTCTTTAGTTGGTGATCATTTATCTTATTCTCATGACCTAACTGTTTGTTTCATGTGTCAGTACTGAAAAGAGAAATTGGACGCCAATCACTCCCTGAGGTTGAAGGGTCAAGCTAAGATCAAAAGGAGAGATTTTCATAACTTGTTAATTTAAAGAAGATGGGAAGTGGCGTGGCTAGGTGGTTAGGGTGCTGGAATAGGAATCTGGTGGCCTGGGTTCAAGTCCTCCACCCTGCCACTCACTGGATTTGTTCTCGGTTGCCCCTAGTTCAATTCCTTGGCTCCTCCTCTACATTGTGGCTAAAAAGCTCCAAAGGGGAGGCTTCAATAAACTTATTCAGATCTATTTACTTATTTATATTATACCTTGAGACCTTTCAGAGAATGATTAGACATTTTAAAATAAAACATTAATTTTATTCAATTCTCTTGAGTTTTGAAAATATGTGTTGTTGTCTCTTGGTGGCTCTCAGGGAAAGTTCAGGCCTTCCGAAACTATAATGGCACTGCTACCTATTGCTAA